CATACCACGACGACCAGGACGACGAGACGAAGAGATCGCCGTCGAGATCGCCGCCGTCCGACATCACACGCGCCGCCACGCGCCACCGAGAGGAGCTGCTGCTGGTTGATCACTCGCGCGCGTGAGAGTGCGTGGAAGCACCTTTTTCCGACCGGTCAACGCCGTTGACTTTGCCGTAACGTCAGCTTTGGTCAAGTTTGTTCGATTCCGAGAAGAATTGATTTGCGGTCAACTGTCCGGGCCAGCCAGATCTACATAAATTTTAAGCAGTAAGTTTTTTTCATCAAACCTTTAGATCCGCTGCGCATAGGTTTATGTTGAATGTTTGTCTGTGATTTGTGCATATCGAGATCCTCGTGGGTTCCAACAGTTAACACTAAAAGAATGTTAGTATATAATTACCTCCTCAAACGATCAAGAAATTATGCTTGGCTTCTTTTCCGATTGCTCTTGTATGCGCGTCCGTGCAGTTCATCCTTTTAATTGTAAATTGGTGATAATTAATATAAGCTACTCTCACTTATCACTTGGCTTTTTCATGACAATTCTTTCGGTAAAATCCATATATATACTGGAAAGTAAATTTTAGTGAAAATGAGATCAAAAGCTACATCTAATGGGCATGCGCCACATGCCGTGCAATGAGGCCTTAATGGCCTTTCACCTTGCTTAATTGACATGCTAGGTGGCATTTCTTGTACTTAGTCATCCCTCATTAGTTCTATTATGCCGCCACGTGTTTATTAGTAATGATGAGTTGCAAATGAAATTGCACCACAACTCACGGTTATTGACCATGTCAAAGCTTAATACGGCCAATTAGCATGCACATGACTTAGATTATAGATTAATCGTAATTGGCAAGAATAATTATTTGGGCACGGCGATTAGGCTAATTAGCGCATAAGAATGTGATTACTTAATCATTAGCTCAAGTATTAACTATTATCATGCACGATGAACGCAATATTAATTAATACTCGCATGATTAAGCTCGGTAAATTTTTTTTTTTTTTTATCGAGCGATTAAACATGAATTTAATTATCGAAAAATTATTTCGAACATAAACGTGATATTCGAAAATTAATTCGAATAACCTTAACTTAACCTTGTTAATTCCAAACTCATTTATTAAAACAAATTGAAATTATTTCTGAAAATTTATTCGGTTATTGAAATAATTAAACCGAATATCTTATCGACTAAAAGTCGAACTTTAACTGAAACTGAATAATTGGCTTGAACTCAACTTTGACAATTAATCGAATATTCTCAATTCAATTAATACGTCGATATTGAAATACTTAATCCTGACTTAGTGACGTTCATTTATTAAAATAAACGGAACGAGATTAATTACTATTATTGACTCGGTTAATAAATAAAATTAACCAGAAATATACTTTTCGACTTAACGTTGACTTGGAATATAACTAGTTGAATAACTTGAACATGGACACGAACATGATTATTTATTAACAAAGGCTAGCTTAAAATTAAAAGCTAGTATTTTCCTTTATTAATAAAACTCGGGGTGTTACAATAAGCTTATTTTGCAGGGCTTCAACCGCTGAAGCCCTGCAATATAATCTCATCGTCCTCTTTGAAAACGTCTAGTGACATCGGCACTGAAAAGTTTGAATGCCTTCCTCATTCGTGTTCAAGTGTCCATTTATTCGCATGATAATCGATTTATCCATCATATTATTCTTTGTAATTTGATACTAATAAGAAAATCAGAAAACAATGTTCATTCCAATTTGTTCACAAATCACTGGAAGTTTGGCACTAATGAATAGGGGGATAAAATTAATGTGAAGTGTTGACGACTCGAACGTGAGTTTAACATTACGTTATTTTGCAATCATTTTGTCGAACGTAAATAAAAATTAAGATGAAAAGTACATATATATGAGAGTTATATTATTTGTGCTATCGCAGATGTTTATACTTCAAATTATAATACATAATGAAGAATATTGACAAGATATCATTGTCTGATATGAAGTTGATGTTGAAACATTAACGACATGTACGACTGTGATGTGATGTCAATAGTCTTTATATGTATTATGATTTGAAATATAAATTACGTCTACGATAGCACAAACAATAGAACTCTTATATATATGTTCTTATCATCTTAATTTTTGTTTAGGTTCGACAAAATGATTGCAAAATAACGTAATGTTAAACTCACGTTCGAGTCGTCAACACTTCACATTAGTTTCATCCCCCTATTCATTAGTTCCAAACTTCCAGTTATTTGTGAACAAATTCATAACCACATGTCTAAAAAATAAATACAAGTAATATGAGATGTATTGTACAAGAACTACGTTCACTTTCATTCGCAATAAAAAAATGAACATGTATTTAATATAAATAAAAAAATGAACATGTATTTACATATATATATATATATATATAAATTTATACTTAAAAAAAAAAAAAAAAAGAACCGGAACCGGCGGGTCTGACCCAGACCCGGCTGAAAACCGGCGGTTTTCAGACCCGCCGGTACAGGGCCGGTTCATCGGACCGGCCCTTAGTTCTAATCGGGCCGGTCCCGGTTCGCCCATCCCAGGACCGGTGCACGGTGGGCCGGGCCGGGCTGGAACCCGGCACCTGGCCACGTCTAATTGCAACTGATTGTTATTGGAAGATGACTGTTATGATTGAATTTTCTTTTACTGTCCGAATTAGTATTATTTTCTGATTTAATTTCCGATACCTCAACGAATTAGTATTGTTTTTTGATTTAATTTTCCGAAATGGGAGATATGATTTCCGTTTTACAATCATCGACAATTTATAATATGATTTCAATACAATTGATTCCACACCATATGTGGAATAAAACACAATATTTTTACATGTTGTCAAAATTAAATCTTCGTTTATTAAGATTTAATTTCCTTTTATCAAGACTTAACATGTATATAAATTATATATAATGTGTAAATATACCCTATTATATACATAGTTATATGTATAATGTAATAATTTATATATATTTAATTGGATTTCGTGTATTGAAATTAAAATAAAGAGAGGGATATAGTGTAGTAATACACATAAAGTATCTGTATTAATTTATTATCTATTAGTGTTGATAACATGATACTAAAGTTTATCTTTAATTATTAATCTTCAATGATTCAACTTAAATGTCTAAGACGGTGAATATGTTTAATTGTTCGTGATGATGTAATACAAAATATAATATAAACTTTAACATATAATCATACATGTAAGACACTATTGTCTTACACAATACAGTATTTTTAAATTTACAATTATTTATTAAATATTCACGTAATTTTTGTCACTCAAACTATTATATGCAAAGATATAGCTTATTCTTTTATTTATCACTTAAGTCTCAATCTAATATATATTGATTATTCCACTAAAGTAGATTTATAGATCTCACAAGATGCAAATACTGTTTGCAACAAGCCGACGTGATTTTGTCCTCTAGTGATGGCTCAACCGTGTGATAATAAAATTTATAATTTATTATTATTTTTTTTTTCTGAAACGATAGATATTATTATAAATCAAAAGCGCACAAGTGTGCGAATACAAGCAGCCAACGGCTGAAAAGTGGGAGGACATGTCC